GCCCCATCTTCCTTCCAAGGAGTGGCAGGTGGGTTTGAACTGCCAGTCTTGTGGTTAGCAGTCAAGTGCCTTAGGCACTAATAGGGTCAAAATCATCCATATGGAAGAGAGAGGAACTGAACCCTGAAAAGATACTGCTGAACACAGGAGTCAGGATTCCTGGGCCTGGCCTTTCAGGGTTCTTGAGGCATTACAAAAAACAAACTCCTTCTAGTCGATTCTGACTCATAGATACTCTGTAGGACAGAGCAGAACTGCCCCATAGGGTTTCCAGGGTTACAATCTTTACTGTCACATCTTTCTCCTGTGGAGTGGCTGGTGGGTTCCAGCTGCTGACCTTTTGATTAGCAGCTGAGTGTTTTAACTGCTGCATTACCAGGGTGCCTCCCTGGAGACATTATTAGTCCTAGTTCCATAAGACTCAGCCAATAGTAGTAGTTTTTAGCATCAGCTGTCAAGTGCAGTGTAACGAATGAACTCTGATCTGAGAATTAACAGAGTGACTCAGGTTGGGGCTCAGGGAAAGGAGGTGGCTACCCAGGAAACTGGGACTTGCAGCTTGCCACACCTTCAGAGAAGGCCAGTTTTCCTGGGGTCACCAACCTTGTCCTACAAATTCTCAAGTCCTATAAAAACCAGTGTTCTCCTAGTTTGGTTTTCCTCGCCATAGCATCTTTTCTAGAACACCTCACTCCCCTTTACCATCAGTCCTCTTTGCTTGTATTTTTACGTGCAAAGCCTGGCATTTCCACAGCAATGAGGCCTTGGCTAATAACTAAACCTTGCTGATCTTTGATCTCTTGCAGTGTAAAATGAGATTAGTACACCCTCACCAATGACGAGGGGAAGGTTTGCCTCTTTTGGGTCCTTACAGGGGTGGTGATGGTGGTAGTGGTGGTGGTTGGGAACAGTGCGCTGTGTTAGGGAGGTGGGGGTAACGCCAAGCTCAGTGGGTGCTTGGGACTCTGGGAGGAGTCTCTAGAAGGTGCCAAGCCTATTATGAAAATTAAATTTTATTTTATTTATACCTTGCTTCATTTCACAAGGATTTTAGGATGGCTTATAAAACTATATATGAAATGAAAAGAAAATAAATAGTTGAAGAAATAGGGAAAAATAAGATAAGTAAGCAAATACTTCATAAAATGTAAAATACATACGTATATCTATAAATATGTATATATATATATATATATAGAGAGAGAGAGAGAGAGAGAGAGTTTCTGGGTGGTACCAATGGTTAACATGGCTTGGCTGGAAGGTTGGGGGTTCGAGTCCACCCAGAGCTGCCTCAAAAGAAAGGCCTGGGTGTCTGCAGCCACTGAAAGCCCTTTGGAGCACAGTTCTATTCTGACACACATGGGGTCACCATGAGTCAGAATTGATTCTGTGGTAACTGTTTTTGGCTACATATTCCCCAAAGTCGTTACCAGTGATACTATATTTTGTGATGACATGCAAGCAAATGTGGTCTGGGTAGACCAGAACCAAATGACCCATTGGGTTATGCAAAAGGCTCATTGTCTTGGAGGGGTGGGGGCTCCTCCTTTCAATGAGCAGCACCTGCCCTTAACAGCTTCTCTTGAAGTGCTCCCTGTTCTTGGATTGGTTCTCATCCTACACCCAGCTCCCTACAAAGTTGTCCTATCTGCCTCTGGAGTCCAGGTCAGCAAACTTTGGCCTGAGGACCAAATGTAGCTCACTGCCTATGTTTGTTCACCTTCAAGCGAAGAATGGTTTTTACATTTTCAAATGATTAAAAATAGAATCAAAAGAAGAAGAATATTCTGTGACAGGTGAAAATGATACGGGATTGAAATTTCAGTGCCCATAAATACAGTTTTATTGGAACAAAGCCACACCCATTCATTTCCATATTGTTTTTGGTTGCATTCGCACTACAGTGACAGAGCTGCGTCATTGTGGCAGCAACCATCTGGCCCACAAAACCTGAAATGTGTACTATCTGGCCTTTTATAGAAAAAGCTGGCTGACTTCTGCTCAAGAGCACTGTCTCTTGGACTTGTCTGTCTTCTCTCTACATCCCTCCTGCCTCGATGTCCAAGGCTTTCACACTTTCTCTGAAACTCCTTAGGCCACCAGGGCCCATCCTCTGCCCCTTGAAAGCCAACACCACAGGACACTTGGAGAAACGGCCATGCTCAGTTACCCAGGGTGACAGGAGTCAGAGCATGAGTGATTAAGAGCATCAGATAGTCACAAAGCCTCATTCCCACCACTGGTTTCAACTTTGTCACCACCCGCTTTCCTCCCTGAGCAATCGATAAGTTCTGAAATTGACTGTTGCTCTGTTCAGTTTGTTGTTGTTGTTGTTGTTGTTATGTGCCGTCGAGTCGGCCCCGACTCATAGCGACCCCTTCTTGGGTTTCCGAGGCAGTATCACTACGGAAGTAGGATTGCCCAACCTTCCTTCCGAGGAGTGGCTGGTGGATTTGAACCGCCAGCCGTCTGGTTAGCAGGCAAGTGTCTTAGCCACTATGCTACCAGAGCTCTGTTCAGTTTAGAAATACTCAAATGGAAGAGTGAAATGGCCAAAAGAGGGTACCAGAGAAGAGGAGGAAAAACAGAGGCACCCAGGTGATCGTAATGAGTGATTAGCAGTTGTTATCGAGTCTGCCCCTGACTCACGGGGACCCATGTGCAACAGGATCAGACTATTGTGATTCACAGTTCTCATTGCTTAACTTTGGGGAGTAGATTGCCAGGCCTTTCTTCCTAGTCTGTCTTAGTCTGGAAGCTCCACTGAAACTTGTTCAGCATCATTGTTGTTGTTGTTATGTGCCGTCGAGTCGTACCTGACTCATAGCGACCCCTCCTTGGGTTTCCGAGGCAGTATCACTAGGGAAGTAGATTGCCCAACCTTCCTTCCGAGGAGTGGCTGGTGGGTTTGAACCACCAGCCTTCTGGTTCAGCATCATAGCAATGTGTAAGTCTCCACTGAGTGATGTGTGGTGGCTATGCATGAGGTGCACTGGTTAGAAACCGAACCCTGGGTCTTCCACATGGAGAGGAAAATTCTGCCACTGAATTACCACTGCCTCAACAACAATTAAAAAAAAACCCCCAAACCCACTGTCATTGAGTTGATTCCAACTCATAGCAACCCCCACTGGGTTTCCAAGGCTGTAAATCTTTATGGAAGTAGATTGCCTCATCTTCCTCCTGTGAAGCAGCTGGTGGGTTTGAACCACTGAACTTCTGGCCAAATGTCATACCCTCTATACCCCAAAACCAAAACCAAACCAAACTCATGGCCGTTGAGTCGGATCCGACTCATAGCAACCCCTCCTTGGATTTTCGAGGTGGTATCACTACGGAAGTAGATTGCCCAGTCTTCCTTCCACCAGAGCTCTGCAATTAATTAGAGTCTTGCAAAAGCTATCTGATCACCAACCCCTGGCTTCAGCTCCTACCAAGAGAAAGTGAATAAAAACATCTTCCTTTTCGCTACTCTTGTTGCTGGAAAGTGCTGCACACAAGTGGGCTGTTTAAAGACCATCTTCAAAGAACTAGATTCCCTGAACACTTGGTGGCCCTTCTTTTTCAGCTGCCCTCTTTCTCAGGTCTTTTTCGCCCACCCTGGTTCCTACCCCAGCCTGAGGACTCCTGTGGATCCTGAAGAGGCCAGAGCCCTGCCTTGTGTGGGACAACCTCAGTCAACAGCATCCTCTGCCGAGGCCTCCCACACCTCTGCCAATACGCTGGGCACTTTAGAACCTTAGGAACCTCAGGAATCATGTAGTCCAGCCCTTCATTTTAAAGAAGAGGAAACTGAGGCACAAGTTGCTTGCTCAAATCACACCTCTAATTAGTGGCAGAGCTCACATTGAACCAATTACTATTTCCATTTCTCAGAGGCTCTGGCTGCAGTTCTTGCGATACTTCAAGCGTGTCTCAAGGAAATCTTTCAGGGGAATATATTCAGGTTTAGACAGGCTCCTTTTCCAGTCTGATTCGATTAAGTAAATAATTAACTTCAGGGCCCAGTTTGGGCCTCGGCATACAAAATCAGCATTGTACTTTCTCTTTTGCAGGTCTGAGCACAGGTCATGTCCAGCAAGACATTTGCCTGCAGGGAGATTAGGATGTCCAAGCCAGCCTCTAGAGGAGGAAGGGTGGTTTCCACTCATTTCTTTCCCCTCCAGCATAATGAGGGTCAGGCTTGGTGGGCTAGAACTGAATTCTGCATAAGGCAGGTCAAGGCGGGAGAAGGAGTCCTGCTGTGCAGTGATTAAGTGCTCGGCTGCTAACCAAAACGTCCATAGTTTGAACTCACCAGCAGCTCCAGGGAAGAAAACACCTGGTGATCTGCTCCTGTAAAAATTACAGCCTCGGAAACCCTGTGGGGTAGTTTGACTCTGTCACAGGGGACCATTATGAGTTGGAGTTGACTCAAAGGCATGCAACAACATCAGTAGGCAGGAAGAGAACAGGAAGTGGGGAATGCTCAGCCTGTTGGGCCCCCATGAAGGTAGAAAAGAGAGGGACAGGGACAGGAGAGTGAGGCAGTGCAAGGGAAGAGAGGGGGCTTCAAAATCTGGGAGGCCACAAGGTCTTTGAAATCTTCCAAGCCCTCAAAGGTCATGCCAGTTAGGGCCACAGACATGGCCCAGAAACCATGGGTGCAGTGTGGTCAGGAGTGGACTCCACAGTGTAGATTCACTGTGCCTCTCCTAATTTCTGTGTGAAGTGGACATTGTCTCTGCTAACCTCAGAGAAGGCAAACTAGTTATAGACAAAGAAGTCCTATCTCCTCTGGCCATCAGAACTGAAGAGTCCTTGGAATTTTGTATTCTTGCCCTGCTGACTTTGGCTCTGAGAAGAGAGGTCATTTTCATCACCTTTTGCTCTTCTTCTTGGCTCTGAGCCAGGCTTGCCTTCTAGATGCTCTGACCTTTTCTTTGATTGAAGTGGTTGTTGAGCATCTTAGCCTCTCTTCCTGCCCCTCTGTCCCTAGTTCTACTTCCCCAATAACTTACCTCTTGGGACTGCTCTGAGATCAGGATGAATCCATTGTTGTCTATGATGAAGCAGTTCAGGTCCTAGGGAAGAAACACAGAAGGAAGTTCACAGCAGGGGCTAGCCACTGACTCCTCCTTCCTTCTGCCTATCCTGGCAGCTTTGGAAGGCAAGCCTGGAGGTCAAATGAATAGATATCCTCTTTGAGCCCAGCAGCACAGAGAAGAAGGGCCCTTGGGAAGGAGGGAAGCTACCCCATTGAGAGTACATGAGTAGAAGGGCCCAAGATTCTCATTTCACCCTTCACACAGAGGAAGAACTTACACTGTCCTGGCAGCTCACTGGGCACGGCTCATCTACCCCACTGCACTAGAAGAAAGAAGAGAAATTGTAGTGGTATATGCCCATGTGCATGAATGTGTGTGTGTGCATCTGTGGATGTAAGGTATATATTGGGGTGTATTCACGTGTAGGGAGTAGTTGATATGTGTATATTGAATGCATGTGTGGTGTGTGCATATATAGTATATACATAGTGTGCCTGCATTTGCAGAAAGCAATGGAGTAGGAAGGTAGGAGCCAGAAACTGAGGTCTGGCCCAGGAGATGTGGGGGAACCAAGAAAGTGGAGAAGGCAAGAATCTAAGAGAGCATCCACTAGTGGCTGCTGAGAGGACTGACTCAGGAGACCTAAGTGAAGGACAGCGGTCTCACTGGGGGAGTGCTCCTGGGGAAGAATTCAAGGTGAAATTGAAGGGACCAGCCCCTCCTCACTGCAAAGATGTTGGTGAGTCCTATGGTCCCTGATCTGGCCCTGGCACTGGCACACCTACCTGTTGTGTCGCTGCCCAGAGTTTGCGTTGGAGGAATTCCAGCTTTATCTGGATGCCCACCGCTATCGAGAAATAGGGAGGGGGAGGGCAAAACCATGTGTGTGTGAAGGGGGGGTGGTTGGAAGGGAGAGAGAGGAGTGAGAGAAAAAAAAATAGATTCACGTTAAACAAAGGAGGTGCATCAGCAGGAACTGAGGGGAGAGATAGCACCCAGACAGAGAGTGGATGGGGAGAGGGAGTCAGACGCCAGAGTGAGAATCTGAGGTTCCTGGGGGTGGGGGGCCAAGAGGAGAGACACTGGTGGCTTCTGCTTCCCCTAGCTGAAGGATAATGACAGAAAATGCCCTGAGAGAAAGATGTGGCTCAGATTCTAGAGAACAATTGAGGACGGTATGTATGTTTGGATCTCTGGGCACTCAAGCCAGGTGGATTGGGCAGGTCATCTCCCTTCTTCCCACAGATGGAAAAATAGAAGCCCAGAGAGATGGAGTCATTTGTTCAAGGTCACATGACCAAAAGTGGTAAATTAAGACTGGAAGGCAGGGCCATTGTGAGTTGGGCCATTCATGGGACTTCCTAGATCTTTAGTCAGGTGCTGTAACAATCTCTTTTATGCTTGATTCTTGCTTAGGGTCTCCCCCACTCTGTAAGAAGGCTCTTTCCTTAACTGAAAATCCTGAGGAGATTTATCCAGGTTTGCAAGCAGGAGACTATAGGTGCTTCCAGCCCACAAAAGTAGCTCTTCCAATGACTCCTCTTAAAAGGGCCACTCATGCCTCTTTCCTTCCTAAATAGACTTGGAGAACCCAAGCTGGTGCTCACACAGTAAGAGAAATCTGGGACAAAGAGCTCCAGGAAAACTTGAGGACAAAGAATAGACTGAAAAGGCAGCTTATACTGAAAAGAAAAAGAAACAAAAATCTAGGCCAACTTCCTACTGTCTGGTACAATAATACAGAAAATGTGTTGGATGCTTCTGATGTGCCAGGCCCCTTGACATCCATGAGTTTGTTTGATCCCCTCAATAGATGACTTCTATTATTGTTCAGACTTTGCAGCTGAGGGAATAGAGGTTTACAGAGGTTTACAGGGCTTAATCAAGTCACCCTGCTAGTAAATAACAGAACCAGCACTTTAACCAGGGCCTGTCTGTCTCGAGGGCCTGTCTTCGTTAGCTAGTGTTGCTATACACAAATAAGTGGGTGGCTCCAAAGAACTGAAATTTATTTTCTCATCATTCCGGAGTCTAAAAGTCCAAACCAGGGTCTCAACCCTGTCAATTCCTTCCTCGTCTGTACCCTGCGGCCTTCCATGGTCCTTAACAACCCTCAGATGGCATCTGTCTTCCTCAGTATTGCTTCTATTGCTTCTGTCTGTGTGTAATCTGCTCTTTTAGGTTTAGGATACACCCTACACTGGTATGACCTCATTAACCTAAGGCATTTGACTGCTAACCAGAAGGCTGGCAGTTCAAACCCACCAGCCACTCCTCAGAAGGAAGGTTAGGCAAACTACTTCTGCAGTGATACCGCCTCGGAAACCCAAGGAGGAGTCGCCATGAGTTGGGTTGGACTCAATGGCAGTGAGTATTTCCAAACAGGATTATATCCACAGGTATGTTGTTGTTGTTGTTTTTTTGCCCTCTAGTCCATTAAACCCACAGTGACCCTATAAGAAAGAGTAGAACTACTTCATAGGGTTTTCTAAGCTATAATCTTCATGCGAGCAGATCGCTAGCTCTTTTCCCTGCAAAGCCACTGGTGGGTTCAAATATCCAACCGTTAGGTAGGCAGCCAAGTGCTTAACCATCTCCTCAACAGTGCTCCTTATCCACAGTTATAGGAGTTAGGATTCCAACACACATACTTGGATGGATAAAATTCAATCCATAACAAGGCTCAAGCTCTTAACCTCTCTACTCTCTAGTCCTGGACTCTAGTCTTGCCAAATGGGGTATGAGTAAGCTGTGCTCCCACCCTAAGCTTGGGTTTCCTCATCTGTAAACCGGGAATAAGGAAGTTGAAGTGTCTGCTCTCAAATGCTCTCAGGAAACAAGGCCAGACACTGTGCCAGGTGTTGCGGATACAAAGATGAACAACAATGGACTCTGTCCTTGGGGAGGGTACAGTCTGTTGGGGAGGCAGAACTTTATAATACAGTGAAATGAGAACCAACAGAGGCATGTATAAGCCTAAGGAGAGGGAGGGAAGGCTTCACAGAGGAGGTGACATTTTAATAAATTCCAAGAGAACCGGGGAGGCACCTGCCCTTTTACATCTCTCCCAAAGAAGAGAAATGAGCATCCAAAGGCTGGGAAGATGACTGCTTCCAGCACCATTGTTTCTGGAAGATGCAGTAGTCTTAGAATACTCTTTCTTGGAAGGAGAGTGGCAGCAAGGATATTGAGCTCTCAAGGTACCATGATCCTGAGCTAACATAGATGGGTGGGCACCTTGCCAGAGATGGGCTCAAATGGCCAGAATAGGGCCTGTGCCCAAATTTGAGAGATCCAGCACTTTATACCACCTGCCTGTCAGTTTGTTGTACTGTGGTGGCTTACATGCTGCTATGGTGCTGGAAGCTATGTCAGTGTTTCAAGTGCCAGCAGGGTCACCCATGGTATTTAGTGGAGCCTCCAGACCAAGAAACTAGGAAGAAAGGCCTGGTGGTTTATTTCTGAAAATTAGCCAATGAAAATCCTATGATCACAAGAGAATATTGTCCAATATATGCTGGGAAATGAGTCCCCAAGGATGGAAGGCACTCAAAATACACACAAAACCCCCACTGTCATAGAGTCAATTCTGACTCATAGTGATCCCCATTGGGTTTCTGAGTCTGTACATCTTTACGGAAGTAGATTGCTTCATCTTCCCCAGAGCGGCTAATGGATTTGAACTGCTGACCTTTTGGCTAGCATGTAAATGCCTTATCCACTATGCCACCAGAGCTCCTTTTTCAAAATACACAGTGGTTACAATAATGAACTCAAGCATACCGACAATCATGAAGATGGTGTGGGACCTGGCAAAGTTTTGTTCTGTTGTACATAAGGGGGTCATGAATCAGAGCTGACTCAATGACAACTACAACAGCAACAAAAACAAGCATTCTATGAGTCATGTCTTTGGACCTTGTACAAATCTGTGTGACAAAGGAAGCCCAGAAGGTGCTCCCAACAATGACCAGTTAACACACAGGCTACTCAAATAGGTGGGCCAAAGTTGACAAGATGTACCTGCTGAGTCCAGCTTCAGTGACTTTATGCTGTTGGCCCACATGGGCTACAGTGACTGCAGGGTGGCTCTCTTTGGCTGCATCCTTCCCAAGGTGCATAGGTAAGCTGCAGCTCTCTGGCTGGGATCTACTCATTGCCATCAAATTGATTTTGACTCATAGGACCTCATGTGTAACAGAGTAGTACTGCTCTGTAGGTTCTCTTGGCTGTAATTTTGTATGTAAGCAGATCACCAGGCCTTTCTTCCATGGTACCACTGGGTGGGTTTGAACCACCAAAATTTAGGTTAGTAGCCAAGCACAAACCTTTTGGACCACCCAGGTACCTTTTAGCTGAGGTCTAGATGCAGCTAATCCTTCATTTATATGCCTAAGAGTGTTCTTTTCTTCTTTTTTTTTTATTAGGATTTGGGTGAAGATTTACAGAGTAAATACACTTTTCATATAGCAGTTCACATATACTTTGTCTCATGTCATTGACCAAAATTTACAATGCAACAGCTCCCCTCCCACTTCCTCCCCATAGTTACCTCCTCCCAGTGTCCATCCCTTCATACTCTTCTGCACCCTGAGCTATCTCCCTGTGCATAAGCAGCCCTTCCTTCTCCCATGATTGTTCTCTCCAGGGCGTGTGTCTACTTGAGGTAAATGTTTAACCTAAGAGTGTTCTTTAGCTCTGTTTAGCCAACTAACTGGAGCCAGTGAAAAGCTCAAACTCACTGACATTGAGTCAGATCTGACTCATAGCAACCCCTTCTTGGGTTTCTGAGGTGGTATCTCTATGGAAATAGATTGCCCAATCTTCCTTCTGAGGAGTGGCTAGTGGGTTTGAACCACAAGCTTTCTGGTTAGCAGTCAAATGCCTTAGGCATTACGCCACCAGAGCTAGCAATTAATAACAGTGGCAAACACTCCTATAGTGCTTCCTCTATGCCAGGCACTGTTCTAACTGCATGATGGATATTATTCCATACAACCCTCACAATGACTCTGAGATAAATACTACCATCTATTTTAGAGGACAGGCTTCCAACACAGAGAAGTTAAGTAACATGCCCAGGATCACACAGCTGATAAACAGAAAATCTCAGATATGAACCAAGCAGCTTGGTTCCTAGATCTATGAACACTATGCCATGTTCATGAGAAATTCCAGAGTCACCCCAAAAGCCACTGGAGAGATTTTCTATCATAATCATTGTGATTTCCTGAATACACATCTGACTTTTCCAATAGGGACTGGAGTTCCAATATGGTGCAGAGATACAGAATTGAATTTTTTTTACCCCAATCTGATAATTCTAGAGAAATTTGGTGGAAAAAGATGAGACTGAGGAGGGGTCAAAGGGCCAGGGTTGTAGCCCTGGATTTGAATTTGTTTCCTCAGCTGTTAAATGGGTCATAATTACACTTACCCTAGAAGGTAGAATGAATATGTGTTTGTTGAGGCTCAAATGAGATGGTGTGGAAGAAAATTATTCTAGACTAGGATTATGGTTCTCAGATTTTAGTGTGCAGTAAAATCACCTGGCAAGTTTGTTAAAACCTCATTCCCAGAGTTTCTCATTCAGTAGGTCTGGGTGTGACCTGAAAATTTGTGTTTCTAAAATGTTCCCAGGTGATGCTGATGCTACTGTCCAGTGACCGTATTTTGAGAACTTCTATTCTAAAACATCACTGTCCAACTAAACTTTCTGAGATGTCCTATATCTGCATTGTCCCATGCAGTGGCCACTAGCCATATGTGGCTAGTGAGCACTTGAAATGTGGTTAGTGGCACTGAGGACCTGCATTTTAAAAATTTTATTTAATTTTGGTGAGTGTA